AGCCCCCAGGGATGCACCAATGCCACAGGCTGTGCTGGGCTCCCCCACCCCAGCCCTGTGCCTCTGAGAAACCCTCTAGCTCTAGCCCTGCAGTGGGAATCACCCAAATTTGGGTAACTCTCCAGCCTCCACCTTTACACCTAGGATAATCCACTCTCAGTGGGAGGGAAGAGCAGTTCTTTCCACTCAAAATAATGAGCGGAGCTGCCAAACAATTTGCTTTGCATTGGGTAAATATCACAGGACTGCCGAGATCTGAATTTCAGGATAAGCAAACAAAATAGCACAGACAGGAAAAATAATACAGAGCTCTTTGAAAAGGTTACAGTGAGCAAAGTAAATGTTCTGCCAGAACTGTTGTTGGATTGTGAATTCAAACAAGTTTAAGTAAGGGACCAGAGAACATCCTGAGCTCCTTCCCCATCAGGCTGGACAACTGTGCTCTGAGGTCTCCCCTCTGCCACGTGGCTTTGATGCTGTGGTAGACTCAAGGAAGACTCCAGAGGATGAATGAAGCACTGTCTCCACCACAGAGCCAGCAGAGAAGGAAAATTGTCATTGTTTTCTGTGCTATATACCTGTTGACTGGGCAGAAGGGAAAGGAAAGGCTGTGAGAATAGCTGTCCTGCAAGCCACATCTTGGATTCTGCAGAGCATCTTCGTGAGGTTTAGAACCTAAACGGAAGGGAGCAGAGTCTGGAGCTACCACTGGCACAGGGACAGGGTCCAGCAGTGCCATGGAAGGCAGGTCATTGTGCTCAGTGTCCAGATGTTTGGCTGCAAATGCTTTGAAAACAGCAATCACAAATCCAAGTATTCTGGACTTGTCCTGGTAGAAATGCAGGACATAGATGCTATCCCACTTGTCCCAGTCACAAGGGTTTTGAGGAGTGATGGTGGGACAAGACCTGCAGGACATAGATACTATCCTACTTGTCCCAGTCACAAGGATTTTGAGGAGTGATGGTGGGACAAGAGAGCTTTAAATGTTTGATGGGAATTGTCTTCAGCTGCAGGGAGATAGAAGCAATTTCTTGGTGGCTTGGCCTGTACCTTGCCCACTTATTCCTGATTTTCTCCCTCTCCATGTGATGCTCAGCAATGCTTTCACGCTTTCCTCTTTGGAGTTGCTTTGGGATGACCACAGGCCCTGAAGCAGCTTGGGATGAAACTAGTCTTGGAGAATTCTCTTCGCAAGACGCTTGGCTACTGCTCTGCCCTGTGCCCCTGCTGTCCTCCTGGTGACTCCTGTGCTGTGTGTGCTGTGGAGTGCTGCCTGTGGCTCTGTCCCCTTGATATCTGTGCATTGGCACTCTGCTAAAATAA